CAATCTGTATATTTGACAGGTTTTGAAAACTAAACATTCCATTTTTTTACCAATTTTAACCGAAAAATCGAATTTCAAAAGCTCATAACTTCTCTTAGAAATGACATATCGGAACAAATTGACATTTTTGTAATCCTTTGTTCCTGTTTTATCTGGCCTCCAAGTAACGTTGGAAAATATCCATATTTGATTATTTGACACTCCCCTTTGCATTATAAGTAGGAAAGGAGGTGGTCCCTATGGGGTCAAAGTTCAAGGTCAGATAACAAGGTCAAAGCTGGGCACTCAACATGGTTATCATACATTTTCCAAAAGCTTGTGGGGAGGACTATCACATGAAGGCATTCGCGTTTTGTCCCTTGATTTGGTAACAAAATCTTGTCTGGCCCATGGACTACAAGTACAGTAGGGGCATTATCATTAGATAGCTCTAAACATTGTTCAGAGTTAAATGTTCAAGGGTTAGGTGTAACACGTCGTTCGGTGAAATGTAGCCAGCTGCCGCCGCGCCACGCATCTGCAAAGCTGGTGTGTTACGCCGAAGGCGGTTATACCGATCGACTGTACAGACACAGAAGCTGGTGTGTTACGCCGAAGGGTGGTTATACCGGCTATACAGATACAGAAGCTGGTGTGTTACGCCGAAGGGCGGTTATACCGGCTATACAGATACAGATACAACGGAAGTGTACTTACTGTAGTTAGTCAGTCCGTCATCCAAACGATGAGAATCCTCGCTTTTTGCCACACCTGGGTGTTCGGCAGGGAGCTTTTGTGGCCCAGCTTTCTCCGGGGAGCCGACATCATGGACGGTGTGGTTCTTGTAGGAGATGGTGTTATCAGCTGTCGCGTCCTTTTGCTAAAAGTCACAGAGGGAATGGATTTCTTAATCAAATTGAATATTTTCACGGCAAAGCCATTACATTTTTGCCATTTGAAATACTGATTGCATCACATAAACACGAGTTTTTAAACTTGACGTCAGCCGATCAAATCTGGATGACATGGATGACATCCTCTGCAGACTCCAAATCTAATGCGAGCGGGCGAAAAAAAACAAGGCGCGCCGAAAAAAAAAAGTTCCTACATCTTAAAATTTTGACTCAATCATTGTACAAATGGTTTTTATTCAGTGGGAACATCACAAATACACAGCCAGCATCACTTTCAGAAGGCAACGAAATTTCTTGTTTTTTTTTCCAAATTAGGCGAAAATATGCGCGCGCTGATGTCATCCATAAAAATTACTTGCTGTGGCCTTATATAGAGCCTATTCCCCTATTTCATACACTTGAGTACTGTAGAAAAAATTATATTTCTAATGCAACTACACGTGTAGACAAACCACCCATCGAAAAACAGATCTGTTCCTTTATTTCTATAATAACTGTAAAACGAGAAGTTGAATTTATATAACGATAGTTATTTACTTTGGTATCTGTTAACCGTATCCATTCATCCTATTTTGTTGTGACCTGTACTTAGCCAAGTGTGGCAAAAATGTGGAATAAAGGTCTTCATACATTCATTTATTATTCCATCAAATGCACTGTATCATTCTCAAATTTGGGAACTTTAGTCATAACCCTGTATAATGATACTCTATTGGCGGTCTGTAGTGTTGTAGTGTTAAAAGGTTATGGTAGGTCTTTTCACGAGTAAAAGATTGCTTAGTGTCTGAACTAACCTGAAAGTTGACCTCTGAAGCAGACAAAGACGCGAAACTGACGAAGGCCAGCCACAAAACTACCGAACGCCACATTTTCCAACGGTATCGTCAGTTCAGTTCAAGTTCAACATCACAGCGTTCTCGTGTCACCGGAAAACCCGGCCGCCGGCCACACTGGGGGTCCCACAGACAAAGTTGCAGCCAAGAATCGAGACAAATATTTTCAAACTGCACAGGAAATCGAGTGACTTCTAGTCACTAAATAAACGGGTTTTGTAAAATCTTACGTTAGCAACGAACCGAAGACAAACAAACGTTACGAATTCGAAGATTACATTTGAGCGTACTTGTTCGGTATAACCCATTCTATGGAACGTGGACGTTTTAGAACGGGTTTCCCCACAAAGCGAGGATTACGAACAAAACTCGACTTGTTCCATGCGTTCTATTCATCCCAAAGCAACAGTAAGGTTTAGGGAAATATGATTTACATGTGTTGTTTTTAATACGTCTATCTATTTTTGCACACACACGCACGCCACGCACGCACGCACGCACGCACACACACACACACACACACACGCGCGCGCACGCACACACGCACGCACACGCACACACACACACACACAAAATACACATACTCTCTCACTCTCTTCCTCTCTTTGTGTGTGTGTGTTTCCCTTTGTGTCAGTAGGTATTTGAATGCAGTAGCGTGGCAAGAAAGAAAAAGATGGCAAAACCAATCAAATGTAACATACAGATAAAACATTTTTATTATCATAGTTGAACATATAACAAAAGTGACTGTAGCACAATACACACCAACTCTCTTTAAGAAAGCTGACCTAAAAGTTGAAGTAGCAAATATTTGTGAAAATAGCTGTGACATAAACACCATATATGACGAATGTTACAAATCTGTATCTGTATAACCGCGGTATAACCGCGCCTTTCGGCGTAACACACCAGCTTCGCAGGCACGCGGCGCGGCGGCAGCTGGCTATATTACACCGATACACCTAACCCTTGAACTTCTAACTCTAGACATTGTTCTCTAACAAAGCTATCTAATGACAATGGCCTTACCTCCATTATCATCTATAAAACAAAATGGAGGCGCTCTTGAATGAGACAGATGTCTTCACATCATGCTGTTTCCTTCGAAAGGAATGCATCTGTCGGACTTGAAGTATGCCGCCAGGTTGGGGCGGGCGGACAGGCGGTCCTTGAAGGCCTTGAGGAGGGGGATGGAGTCGTTGGACGCCCAGGCCTCGGGAAACTGCGCCTCGGTAGCCCGCAGGACATGCAGCAGGCCCAGGTCCACGTATGTTAGCTTGTCACCTATCGCAAACCTTCACCGAGGACGGGGAAGCAACAGGTTAGATAATTGACAACGTGCCACATCAAGCTTCATAGAGTTCAGAGTTCATCTACATACCAAATTTTTTATCGCAAGTAGACTTCAAAATAAGCACTGGGAGACTGGACTTTGTACTCCAAATTTACACCGGTCTAGACTACTTCCGCGGTAACATTGCCGTATATAGGTTTGAGAAGAAACCGGTGTAACAGTAGTATTTTCTTTACATCTATCGTACCATTTCCTTCTCAAATTTTACGACGTGCGGCACGTGCTTGCAGTGTGAAAATCTAATGTTACCGGGGCTGAACCAGCATTTCTGCAAAAAATACCCATTCTGGATAACATTATACAACAAAATTTCAGACAACATAAAAAGTGTGATAGTGATGATAGAAATAAACTGAAATGGCAAGACTTACCCCTGTCCGCCTTTGTTGGCTTTCAGCGCCGTCTCTAGATGCGCCAGCCACCGCGGCAGGCGGGTCGCCACGAACCTGTCTATGTACGGCTGCGTCTCCTCCTTCTGTGTGTAGTAAGATTCAACATTGTTCCGGCCGTGGAAGGCCAGTCGCCCTGAAAAGATAACGAGAAGATATAGAAATGTGGTCCCGTAACGCTAAAAGCGCCATACATTACCAATAGTGGAAAATAGCGTTCTTGTGACACAATCAAGACGCTTTAATACCAGGTGGCGACGTTTCGGTAACTTCTCATTATTTCCACAAAAGGTAGAAATAGCCTCTTCTTTTGTACTTGTATCTTTATTTTCGCCAGCCTGGGGTGGCAAATGGAAATTCCCTGGCAAATGGATACTGCCTGTAGCCTCCTGTACAGGCTTCCGGGCGGGTGGGAGTTTTGATACTGCGTTTTGTAGAGTTTTTCCGGCCATCCTACTACCAGCCGCCCAGAGAAGGTTTGTACCTAGCCTGGGTACCATCCCCAGTAGTATATTCGCAAAGTCTATAACTCCAGTTATAGAGTTTGCGAATATACTACTGGGGATGGTACCCAGGCTAGTTTGTACCCGCCATGGCCGGGAAAAGAACGCGTTAAAAATTCTACAAAACGCCGTATCAAAACGTACTCCCACCCGCCCGGAGGCCTGCAGAGGAGGCTAACTGCCAGGCCAATTTGGTGCCAGTTTCCCGCCACCAAAAGATCTGCTTGGAGACTATAACTGTGTTACAACATAACTCCTTACCCTCCCCTATGAAGTCGTGGATGGTGATATTCAGCTGCTGGGCGAGCCACTGGTCCTCCTCTGACTCCGGGAACAGACCGAACTGCTTCCCCAGGTAACTACAGATGACAGGCGTCTGGGACAACCTGAACTTTCCTACAGGGCCGAAACAGACAGAAAAAAACGCGTCATGGTTGAACTTGAACAAATAGAAAATCCGAAAGTTTCACTATTTCGTAACCAGATGTACAAATTATGGAAAATAAGACCTAATTTGCATAATCCACGGAAAACGTCTATATTTCCGGCATTTTCAATAAAATATTTTAGTAAATGCCAGTTAAGGCAGGTGGAACAATATCAGCCTGGAGTCCAGAAATGTTAGCTTTAGTCCGTTCCCCAAGATCCACTCCCCCGCATATTCATCATTGGATAGTTTTAAAAAGACTAAGTAAACTCGCTGTAAAAAAAAACAACAAACAAACAAGTTGTCTTTCTCTGTTTTCCTACCTTTTTGAATCATGGGCGGAGCAAAGGCGTAGAATCCTTCTTGCTTGTCAGTGAAAAACAGCTTCTTGATGACCTCATAGTCCCCGACCTCCCTGAACTTGACGCCGACCTCCTCAAAGATGAGCCTGACAAACTCCCCTCTGCCGCAAAATGGTTTTTGCCCTGGCAGTATTCCCCAGTAGTACAGCACCCATTCCTCTTCAGATGACATGGTATATACAGATGAGTGTATTTGACCTGCAGATAAATAATGTTTAAAAGTGTCCTCTACTGTCACAACGTTGCTTCTTGTTTATATAAATAAACTAGATACAGTTTCTTTTTTCGTACAACGACAGTTTCCAGACATAAGGTTAGGTCCAAGAGCATAATAAACCGTTGTTTTTGTTTACATCATGTACACGTAAATGAAATTTTTTTGAAGACATATGCAAATTGTCGGTAGGCAAACGACCCAACTCAACTGTCACGCGCCATTTGCGTGCCACGCGCCACTGGCTGTGACGTCAAGGCGATCGCTCGTACGCTATTATAGTGTTGCAAGTCATGGTGATCGTGACTTGCAACTTTAGTTTGCCCGCCCCAAACATTGACCCTGCTACCGTATCTGGCTGCTATGTAGCCATGAACATATATAGACATATTTCCACGTGCACTGTACAAAATCATTGATCAAACCTGAAGTTCAGGATTCGCACTGGACGGACAGGTGTGCCCTTAAGACAATACAACACTTAAAGCCATTAGCCCCTTAAGGCTACGGTCAAAGGGCACAGGCCAGGGTTCAGTAGTACACATGTAGTAGATACGCCTGCTGCCGAATGAGAGACAGAAGACCCAGAAGCTACAATGGCGATTACTTATAAACTGTAACACCACTATCGTCGGACATAACGACGTTACACTTGAAGCTGGTGTGTTACGCCGAGGGGTAGTATACCGGCTACTCTAAGCTACTCTATACAAATACAGATAGGATACCACCTCTCTGGTTGTAGCGGCGGCGATTAGGTTGGGGGGGGGGGGGGGTCGCAGCATTCAGGCTGTAATGTTAACTACTAGCCTATGTACAGTGCCATTTCACCTCTCACATATACTCACGGTTAAACGGCCCGGCGAGCACCCGTGGTTCGCTGATCGTCGCTTGACAGACAGACAAGAGTGAGAGTGAGGGGAGAGTGAGGGAGGTCTTGTGATGAGGTCAAACTCAACAGTTGCATGACGGGAAAATGGGCGTGCCTGTCCCACAACGTGACATCCCTGTACACAATAGTAGACTGAGTATGTAACTTGATTGATAAGTCAGCTATTGAGACATCGGGCCTGTCTCTGCGTTGTACCGCTGTTCCCGGATCGACCGTAGTAATCGTGACATTGCAGTTTTCTTTGTATTTTTCATGCTTAAGAAGTTCACTTACTTCTAAAGCATGCGTTACAGATATCCATTGATGTTCCTCTCCTTTCTTTAGTCAGTCACCTAGGCACCGTGTGTCCCAGTTTTTGCCCTGTTATTGTTAAAGTAATTGTGCTAACAACAATAATGATTGCGGTTACCGAAAGCAACTTCAATTTTACGATGTGATGATGATGAATGAAGATAATGATGAATGAAGTTTGACCGTAGACGCTACACAATCACAAACGCTACCGGCCGGTCACAAATCGTGGGAAGCGGACGTTAAAAAGGCTGACACTCAGGCTAACCGCGCTACGCACCACTGTACAAACATCGATTGACAGTGTTGACAACAATTCTTGCATTCATCGTGGTAAACTGTGACGTAATAAAGGTTCGGGACCATTCGAAGTGGCGCGTTCTAAAGTTCCTTTGGTTGCTCGACAGTTGAGCAATATACTTTAAAAATGCGCCGTACTTTATAACGCCATCGTTATGGAAAGAAGATATAACATTGGGTGAACAAAAAGACTTCAATTTACGTGTTTTGAAAGCCTTTTACGCTTACACGGTGTAGTCCAATCCAGGTTTGATTTTGCTGGCGTCCGTTATGATCAGAACGCCCCACAGCGTTCTCTAGAACGCGTTGTCATTGGCAACACATCCTTTGAGTAAACACTGCTTCAAGCGTAGCTGGAAATATGTAGAGGAGACAACGTGTCGAAGATGAAACCGTCGGTTGTCTGGTTGTTGGTCGTCTCGTGTATTCTCATTGCTCCGTCACACGCAGAGATCACACAGGTAAAGACTGTTTCAAGAAATATCTGTCGGCGCGACATCTTAGAGAGTCAACAAAAGGGTAAAACCTCAAAGGAATATTCGAATGTTGTACTAGTAGTTCAAGAGCTGACGTCTATCGCGTTGACGTGCTTTATTTGTGCTGTACTGTATCGGTAACTATGTATCACTTGCTAGGCCTTCATGCCTGTTTAAAGTTTGATTTCGACCCTTGGAAAGGCCGTGATAAGGTTACTGTCCATGAAAGCCTTTAAAACTCAACCGGTCACGAAATCATGATGAACAAATCGATATTATTAACTTTAAGTTCCAACACCCTCTGTTGTCCATGTTAAAAACAACTTATTTTAGCTTTGACATCTCTGACATTATGGTCTGGTTCTTTTGTGACATTCCGTACGCGAAGACCAAAGACGAGGACGCCAACACGGAAAATGAAGAGCATTCACTTGAAACAAGCCTGTCAAAGGAGCCCTTTATCCATCAGGATGAGAAGCACACGGATGGTAGCGACCTTGCCCTAACACGTATCCCAAAACCTGGTGAGATTTTGATTTAAAAAATTATTACCTTCGCCAATGTTTTCGGTAGCGTTTGTGGCTTTGTTTTTGTTAAGATCATCACACAAGAATAGATTCAAGATGAAAATTCAAATATCGATCGTTTACATTTTGTACAAAACTTCCTTCCATACTTTCTTGTGGTTCATTATGTCAGCAGTTCATTGTCTGTTAAAATTTTCTCCAGACATTCATGTGTTGTAAAGTTGCGATTATATTTCATTTCTTCGTGTAGCATCCCAAGATTTGCAACCACTGATTGAGCCTCATCAGCTACAAGCCAGTGACTCAAACGCAGTTGGGGAGGAAGCAAATGTGGCAAAGTCGAGAGTGAAGAGACGAAAAAAGGGAGGGAAGAAGCCGAAGGGCGATCGCGAAGGAAAAAAGGGCGGTAATAAAAAGCCAAAAAAGGAAGGTGGGAACAAGAGAAATAAAGACAAGGGCGGTGAAGCCGGCGAGGAGGGAGCAGGGGCTGAAGGAAAGAAGAAGAATAAAAAAGAAGGACGCAACAGAAAGAAAGAAAAGAACCAACCGGTCGAGGAAGAGCCACCGCTAGAGGAAGAACCACCTATGGAGTACGCAAACGAAGAAGAGATTGAGCCACCAATGGTGGAGGAAGAAATGGAGCCGGTACAGCCAGCACCCCCCATGTATGAAGAGGAGTATGGAGGGAAAGGTGGAGACTACGGACAGGAGGTGATTGAGCAGCCTCCAATTCCAGAGTATGAAGAACCGCCGCCGCCTCCACCGCCGCCCCCTCCACCAGAACCCGTCCGCCCTCCACCCGTGCGCGAGCCACCGCCACCTCCACCACCTCCACCTCCACCCCCACCCCCAGCTCCAGAGGAGTACTTCCAGCCGGAGCCGGAGGAGGAAAACTTCGGTATGATGGGGGCGGGAGAGCAGCCGATGGGGGCGGGAGAACAGCAAGCAGGCGCGGGTTTCAGCCCATACGAGAGCCAGGAGCCCTGGAACCCCGAGCCCCCTCCCGGTGTGCCGCCGCCGCCGCCGCCGCCGCCGCCCCAGGTTCAGCCTCAAGGGGGTGCCCAACCTCCGTACGACAACGGCTGGCCGAGTCCCGAGGTTGCACCAGAGCCCGGGTATCCGCCCCAGGTCGTCCCTCCGCAACCCGAGGTCCCGCAGCCGCCTATGATGTCGCACGACAATGTTCAGCAGAGTCCCTGGGTCCACGGACCCGAGGTTGTAGAACAGCACCACGATACGTCACACGTCGCCCCCGGACATCATCCCGAGGTCTCAGGCCCGGGGATGGCTCATGAAACGGGTTTTCGGAACCCCCATCAACCTGGCATGCACGAGCAGGAGATGGGTCCACACGGACAACCGCACGAGGAGCCGTCAATCATCGTGGATCACACCTTGTTCAACTCCGACAGCCAAGGGGGGATGCCGCATCACGGCGAAGCCCTGCCGGCCGAGAGTTTCGCACACGAGCCCGCCTGGACAGCAGAGGAGTATCACGGAGCGAAGGAACAACCACACGGCTACCATCCGAGCCACGGCGAGGGGGAGTCGCATGGCTTCCACCCTACGAGTGAGAAGGAAGACTACTTCCAACTGAAAGAGGCAGCAGACAAGAACGAACTCCTCCAGGTAACCAATCATTTGTTAATTCTTGTCTTCGAAATACATTTGCAGTGAACATGGTTTTATCTTAAAACGCATCATGTTAGACAAGAACAAAATGATCCAATTTATATTAAGTTACAAGTCTACGAAATATCATGTAGTTTTTAGGTAAGACACGTCTGCAACTGTCAAGTACACGTTACGAACTATGAATTAATTTACAAGTATTCACTTCTGTGAAACTTCCATACTTGTGTGCTCAAGTTGTCATATATGTGATGTCTTTGTTTATGAAGTAGTTTCTGCTCAATTACATGTAATCCGTTGCTACGTTTTAACTTAACTGCCACCAATAAACGGAAGTCATTTACGAAATACTACTCACCACGGTGGCTGCTCTTTTCCGTCTCTCCATTGTAGAAGCTGGATGAACTGGAGAACGAAGTTTCGTCTCTGCAACACGAAGAACAAGACCAGGAAACACTCCCCTTTGGGAAAATGAAGTCAGAGTCCACTTACGAAGGCGACTACGAAGAAAGTGTTGGCGACGAAATGAGCGCGGCAGTGAACACTCTCTGTTTTCTCTCTATGAAAACCATGGTTCTTGTAACCGCTATGTTACCAGTGCTCCTGCATATCATGTGAGAAAAACGTTTCATTTAATTGAACAACAATATGAAGTGTCACTTTCATATCTACGTCACACTACATCAGAACATAGTGTACAAGTTGGACCCTGTATCACATGAAATAAAATACCGAAAATATACCTGGTTGATTCGACATTGATTCGTCAGTATATTTATCAACTTAGTTACTTTTCAGACGGTGACTTACTTCAATGTTCACAGCACCTGTACACCTATGTAATGCGTAATGTTGCATCAGGAAGCAAAGTTGGTAAAATATTGCCATGCAGTTTTGGTATGATGTGCTAGGTGGCACGCGCGACACTACTGCTTCTAACTTGCCTTGTGCCAGCCAGGGATTCAGCAAAATTATCGATTCCATCATGGAGTACTCCAATTTCAATTTATATCAGACCCGTAAGAAGACAGTAACTTTAAAAGACAGTTGTATTTCAATGAGCTACAAAAGGTCAATGCTTCTTTTGGAAGTAATTTATTGTCGTGATATACATTTTCTATGTTCTGAGTTCAATATGCAGGGATAATATCATACATAATTTCACTTTGTCACGGTATGAATACATCATCTAGTCATCCATAACAATACTTTTTGCACATTTCTAATTTTTATACATCGAGATATCATCTTCAGAACAGTAAGCCATTTACGTTCTGATATAGTGGAGCAGTGGATATTTCAGTTATTTACTTCTTTCTATTTGAAAGAGGGGGGTTGAGAAGTTTCACCACATCTATTGCTATTTTTCACTAAATACTTTGAAAGATCCGAGGGGCATAAATGGCCACATATTGAATACTTTCCTCTACTCCTGGATCAAAACGTTATTTTGAAATCAGTTTTCCTTGCTAGGGTCATGGTGCCCACATTAATTCTCCACAGCATGTGAAATGAAACATACTATTTTGTAAAAGCCTCCATGTGAATCTGATCTGGTAGGAAGAAGGCCATAAGTACATTAAAACCTTAAAAAGAGATACTAAAGTTAGAACTGTGCATACAAATTACAGCACTAAAGGAGGCATGTGGAACTGATGACTCAGAAACAAGTCAATATCAACTAATATTACTACTGTACCTAATAGTAGTATTACTAATATTCTTTACACAGATTTACAAAGACTGAATTGATACTGAACATTGCAACAAAAGTATCCATACATTAGTCTATGGTAGTCAGTTGATAATAATTTTACTTGGCCCATTTTCAAGGGGTGGCAAATATGTCATGGTCAATCATAAGCCTCATTTCAAATGCATTGACTTTGGGAGGCATTACATTAAACAAGGACATAAAATTGAAAACAGGACTTAAAAATGAAGGCCTTTCATACATACTTTGTGTATACAATACCCTAACACCCCTGTCGAAACACAATTATACATTGAGTGAAAAAGAACTTTACAATTATCAATAGAACCATTTTCCCAAGAATCATAGAAACGTCTAGTTACTAAACACCAACCCCGTAAAACAGAAGCTGCCACAGAAGTGATTATGCAGAAATATCTCAGATTCAACAATCTATACATAATATACTTGCTGCCAATATATACAGAACAGTTCTTCAAGCAAAGCCAGCTATACAAACATTAATTTTGCTTCAACATTTTAATAGCGACTAACTGGTGCTACCACAACCAAATGAATACATAAAAACATTTGCCAAACACTCTTGTAATGAGTATTATTTCCATTAAGTTCTTTTATACCTTGTCTGAGGCTAATACAATATGATTCAACATGTGAATGTTACACAAATTGGTACTTTTGTGGCAAGGAGTGAGAGATTACTACTTGTGAGAGATTTACATGTACATTGTACTTGTAGTGTTGCAGATACAGCACCTGAGCCACATTCTCCCTGGGCGCCATTCCCACTAGGATAAAATTGTCCGGATCAAGCCAAAGTCGCTTTGATCCGACTCGAGCAGGCTTTGATCAAAGCGAATCAATTTGGTTTGGTCTGGACAATTTTATCCTAGTGGGAAAAGGGCCTTGAAGAGGGGAGGGTGGCTCCAAAAAACTTGAATATGAATTTTGGTCATATTAGATATATAGTGTTGTTAGCACTGTCAACCAGCTGTCCATGCAGCTAAGGCAGACATCATCTTCTTGACACTAAACACTTTAAGTAACGCACCTCACACATTTTTTACGCTATGTGTGAATAACATGAAATAGTGTACTAAGTATATCCCTTTGGATGCCTTTACTGAAGCCTTTACTTGTTGATGTTGCACATTTTACAGCTAGCATCTTTCTTAGCATTCTCTGTCGACAAACTTGGTACGACGTGCCCCTGTATAGACAGCATCTGGCCTTCTTTCATGTTTATTGGCTCCGTGTAGAACAACTCCACGATCAAGTCTTGGCATACGGCGAACTCCATGCTTCCGTCGTCCCGTTTCTTGCGCGTGAGGAACTCATTGTTCGCGGGATCGAGAAGCGGCAACTTTCCGCTGCAGAACTGATCGCCCTCGGAGCCTTTCGTCGTCAACACGAGATTGACGAAGTGGTACGCCGTGTACATGCAGTACAGGTCGGCAAAGTACAGGTTGGCGTTCTCGTTGTACATGGCAGCAGCCGGGCACAAGAAGCGCTGGCGGCCGTACGGGGAATCGATCGGAATACGCGGCCCGTCGCGCTCGTTCCACTCCACGTTCGCGCTGAAGGAGATGCCCTTCAGGTTTCCGTTGACGGGAGAACCGTGGCTCCCGCCGTCGTCCTTTATCGACGGCTGCAGCACGCCCCCGTGGCTCGTCCGCATGAAGTCGAAGTAGTCCTGGTCCTGGTTCCGGTAGAAGTGCGTGAGCGGGAGCATGCGGTCGGACATGATGTTCCGGGCCTTGTCCAGAAGCTGGTTCAACTGCACAGTAGAATAGTCTGGAACAACACAACATTCACAAGTCTCAGACTGCTCAGTTACTTGTACATAACAAAGAGCTTCAGCTAAATCTTAGTAATATTTGCATGTATAACAGGATCATGTTCAAACAGAAACTGGAAACCAAACATACATAATGGTAAAACATTGAGGATGTGAATATCTAGTACAAATCTAACAGTTGCTAGTTAATCAATACATGTACGCATTTGTGCCATATTAGCATATACATGTACACAACCTTATCCTGGTCCTGAACATCGCACCATGAAAAAATCATTCTTTGGGCTTGCAAGTTGATTCGGTTATATATGACTGCATTCTGAAATTATAGTCCACTTCTGCCTTATGCAGATGGTATATCTTTTGAACTGAACTGGTGACAGTCTATACGGGTATTTCACTCGCTCTTCTTTGTAGTAACAGTAAACTTAGTAAAGACAATCCATGAATACAGTGCAGTACTAGCCCAGCATAAATTGGTTCCTTGGCTAAAAGCTTCACCATGACATGACAGATATCCTGTGCAGTGACGTAGATTGAATGGATGTCCTTGCAGTAATAAGGCCTAGGAAAAAAAATGTTGTGTTTCCGGTTACCCGACCGACCCTATGAAAAACCCCCCGACCCTAGCCTTTTTTGGGCCGACCAAAAATTTCGAGCGGCTAGCGGTCGGTTTTCAAAATTGGGGATTTTATCCCCGATAAATGTGCTCGTCATTCCAATTTTCTTCGGTCGGGCGGCGTGGATCGAGCGCTAATTGCACGGATCGGGCCGCTATTCAATTCCATTGTCGGCACAATCCTGTGAATTGACGATGAATTGTCGATCTCGCCATGACGCCACAAAGAAAACGTTGTCATTGGTAGAAAATCTGACACCCCGCTGGCGTTTCACAACAAAATTTTCATGTAAACAACTCCGACTGTCTTTGTTTACATCGCGAAAGCTCACCGATACAAAGTAAAACTCCCGCCGGCCGGCCGCGCCCGATCGCATGGTTGCGGCATGGCGCTAAGTTTTCGGCAGCTCGACGGAAAAATAATCCATCCCCAGAAGAAATGTTACGCATGAAAATACAACTACAACTTGTTTTCCTCGTTATATGAGTTTTTTGAG